TTTTCTTGTTTTTTTCCCCTTATGTTGATAAACCCCCCCCCCCCCCGACTCCGATTGTCATATTCGGAATAACGACTCCCTCACAGCTCAACCCCACACAAAACACACAAGTGTATCAGATTTAACCCACCTCATCACATCAACCCCCAACAAATAAAGCCTTCGCCAGCTTCAAATCGCTCCTCCCCACTTTCCCCTGAGACCGCCCCCCACCCACATTATCCCCCCCACTCCCGCCCCTAAACTGGTAATGTGCGTCCCGCCACTTTCCGCTCGCCTCCTCAGGCTTGACTCCAACAGGGGCGGTATAATTAGGCAAGCGAACAATGAGAGCCTTTCAGCCTACGAGGACAGTAAACAAACATTTCTTGGCTGACGATATTTAGAGGGAGGAAGACAAAAAAAAAAAAAAATGTCTTCCTGGGAATGACATCGAGCGCCAAGGCTAGGGTTGCAATGACGTCCTATAAAACTGGTTTTGATTTCAGCGGGTCTTGTGACGCTGTGGTTCTGTGGGCCTAGTCACTAGTCGTACGTGCACGTACAAACTCGATACTCGAAAGCTTGGTCTTTAGATCGGGACAACACAATACCCTGGGCAATAAAAATAGCGCACATTGGCACGTCAGTCTTTTAGTCATGCAATTTCCGCGGCAAAGAGATTTGTATCCTTTTGTCATGAAACTGTCTTTTGTGTTTCATTTTAATTGACTGAATTCTTAAGGCAGGAGGGTTGAAACAAGAAGAAGAGAAGAAGAGACGGGGGGTGGGGGGTCCAGTTCATCACTACTTTGAGTGGACAGTCAAAGTCTTAGTAGCACATAGTGGAGGTGGGGTCGTTAGCGAGTGGTCGAAGTGTACATAAGTATATGGTATATACATAAGCGCACATACATATAGACATAATAGATGAAATGCCTTTCCTGAATAGAGCGCGTTAATTTGGGGGGGGGGGGGGATGGGTAGTAAAAAAAATCGTTAAAAATTTTAACATGGGGAAAATTACAAATTATCTGGATTTTAAAAATTGGCATAAATTAATATCATTTTATTTTATTTTTTAAATACATATAGACATAATAGATGAAATGCCTTTCCTGAATAGAGCGCGTTAATTTGGGGGGGGGGGGGGGATGAGTAGTAATAAAAATCGTTAAAAATCTTAACATGGGGAAAATTACAAATTATCTGGAGTTTAAACATTGGCATGAATTAATATCACTTTATTTTATTCTTTAAATAAGCCTATTACTATTAAGTCTGGTAATCATGTAAAATGCTCCAAGTAGACGGAGAAAAGGGTCGACTCGAGGTTAAGACTTTAACATCACTAGTGGTAATTGAGTCAATTATAGCCACAGCAGTATTTCAGTGACCCACAAAGCCAGCACCAAATGCGATTTCCAACCCTGGGGTTTGTCTACGGTGATTGTCAGTCGACATGTGTTCTTTGAAAAGCGGGTTTCGAGTGCCTGATGGAGTAGTTCGGTTAGGCGTTTCCACCTGGCTGGCGGTGAAAGGTAAGGGCGGCCCGGACCACTGCGCGAACGGCGGCCGGACGGCGGCGTCACATTGCGGGGTGCGGGGGATCAATTCAAGGATCAAGGCAGCGTGCAAACATGGCAGCAGCCAGGACAAGGAAAACTTTTTAGCTGACGGTGTTGCGCGATGTCCACAGAATGAGAGGGGAAATGACCGGTTGGTTCAGTCCCACAAAAAGCATTAGTGCCAAAGCTAGAGCTGGAAACAATGGGTTTAATGATAGCTTGTTTAAAAATAAAATAAATGAATAATTATATAAAAAAGGGGGCGGGGAGCGATACCAATCTGAATACAGAATTAGGCGGCATACCCATTCGTTAGGTTAATCCCCGTTTGCCGTAAGTTTGACGTAATAGTAAACATTATCTTGTCAATAATAAATGATAGGCTAGATTTATTTTGAAATAGAAAGTAACCACTGTGGTGAGCTTTAACTAAGCATACTAAACAACGCACCAAAAAAAAAACAGCACGGTTTATGACTATTGATAAACGCTACCACTTCCAAATACATTGACACTCTACACTAAACAAATATTCGGTGAAAAGCCAGGAGAAAGAGCATTTCATACGCAGAAATCATCAAGGATTCAGCGGGTGTATCAAAGAGAGCGTTGGTTCCGATTGAGATTTCCATTGAGTTATAGATATGGTCTTTATATACTAAACACACAGATTATGACAGATTGAGAACCCTCGCTACTGTTCTATGTTGGCCTGTCATCTGATCCCAGTATTAAAAGAGCATCAGGAAGAACAAAGCCCCCCACTTCCTCACTTGTATCGCCCAATGTTAGCCCGGGCTTCAATAACAAGTAGTTATCTCACTAATAAAGATGATCCACTTCCCGCTACAGTATCCTGCCAACAAAGCCACTTCATGGGAGACGGTAGAGAAAGAAAGACTCGCTGGAGGACAAGGGGGAAAAAAGGGCGGCAACCACCCCAAAAAAGAGCAGATGTCTGCCACAAAGCTAACTCCTTTGTCAGAGTGGGAATAAAGAATAAGACCTTGAAATGCCCTCATTCACACCGTCCAGGTCAGCTGTCTGATGTTGTGTTCACAACACTTTCACATGTTTGATAGTAGCGTAAAATAACTCATGGTTTATGACAGAATTTGTGGCGCATGGTCACCTGTGGCTTATTTCAAAAGCAATAAATCTATTATAACTCCTACACATATAAGGGGTCAAATTATTTATGTTAACGCATGTATCAACAAAACACATAAACAGGCTCCATAAAGTGGGTGATTCCTGGTTTTGTCTCAGAAGTGTACAGCCAAATTTGGGCAGCTGTGCTGAAACATGTAATACAATGGCCATGTTATGTGTCTCAATAACTGTTGCTTGTGGCAGACACAAAGGCCCACTTGTGGATATGGAGGAATTCAATGCATGTGCTTGGTTGGGAATAGAGCATCTAATGACCCCATTATATATTAAGTGTGCCTTACAGGAATTACAGCTTCACACGGGAATCTGTATGAGTATGAGTTAAAATGCAAGTCATTCAGTAGGATAATATTTTGAAAATGTTCATTTTTGACTACAGCAAGTACATAAAAAAAAAAGACACTGTCTTCCCTACTGTAGCATGATAAGATGAACATTTCAGTTGGGGCTGTGATGCAATGCTATGGACATTTCTACAACATTCATAACACATCATTTGATTTAAATCTATGAAAGGTTAGCAGAAAAGGGGTAATTAAAAAATGATAACATCAAGTGTCAGTAACGGAATGATTGAAAGGGAAAGAATTATATATAATAGAAAAAGGGCAGAGTGTTTCAATGAGTGGAAACTTCCCTGTACTGGGAAATTATAAGGCAAAGGCTTTCCTATTTGAGGTCGCAAAGCATTTAACACATTTGTGAAATTCATATTTAAGAGACGACATATGACTATTCCACTGATGTATCTGAGACCATTAGGATTGAGGTCACTGTCATAAGTATAAGGTCAATACCATTAAGATCACAGTCATAAGTATATGGTAAGTACCATTAAGAGTGAGGTCACTGTCATAAGTATAAGGTCAATACCATTAAGATTGAGGTCCCTGCCTAAGTATAAGGTCAATACCATTAAGATTGAGGTCACAGTCATAAGCATAAGGTCAATACCATTAAGATTGAGGTGAGTCATAAGTATAAGGTCAATAACATTAAGATTGAGGTCACAGTCATAAGTATAAGGTCAATATCATTAAGACTGAGGTCAGTCATAAGTATAAGGTAATACCATTAAGATTGAGGTCACAGTCATAAGCAAAAGGTCAATTCCATTAAGATTGAGGTCACTGTCATAAGTATAAGGTCGATACCATTAAGATTGAGGTCACTGTCATAAGCAAAAGGTCAATGCCATTAAGATTGAGGTCACTGTCATAAGTATAAGGTTGATACCATAAGGATTGAAAAAACTGTGATAAATATAATGGCGATACCATTAAGATTGAGGTCACGGTCATCAGCATCAGATTAAGTTTACTTACTCATCATCTTTGTAAAAATCAGAAAATAATCCAACTCTTTGAAAGCGCTTTCTTGGCAGCTGGCTTGAAACATAAGCATTCCTTGGAGGGGACGGATCTGTAGACTCATCACTAGAAGACGTTTCATCTTCACTGAAAGTGTTTGGATTAAATTGTTACATGGAAAGTTGACTCATGGCATAGAAGGCTTCATTTTCATATACCTAATAAAGCAGTTATTTAAAAAGAAAAAAAGTAGAAAAAAGAACATTTTAAAAAAATTTGCAAGATAGAAATGAAGGCCACAGTTGGATGTTAATTGCTTCTTGTCAAAGTGGACTTAAATGAAGAAATGAAATAATCTATACGTTAAGCATTTTTTATAATATATATACTATGTATAGTATATATATTTACTTTTATATTAAAAAAACTTTTTAAGCATAATATTTAATATTGATTACCAATTAACTTACTTTCCACAAGCGAGAGCTGCCTTGATTTCTTCAACCAAAGTGCGCTTGCTGCAATGCTCAATTGGTAGAGGATCATGTTCAGAACATGAAGACTTAATCACAGATGTGCTTGATACAGAAGAGGGCACTGCCTTATTGCACGTTTTCCTGCCTACAGCAGTTTGTGGAGTTATTTTGGTTGGAGATAATGCTCTCAAGTTTTTTGGTGGAGAAACATTTGAAGACTGTTTTTTCCTAGGTGATAAAGGGCTAGTGGTCAAACTATTGGGTGATAAGTTTGAGAACCTAGATGGATTTTGTCGCCTGGGTGAGACACAGCTTTTAAATGGAGAGTTTGTGATCTCAGGTGGCTCAGAAAAAAAACTACTGTCACGATGCGCCATCGGTGATAAACATGTGTTTTTTTCCAGCCTTGGTGGAGATGTATCTGATTCTTCAGCAGATATATTAACCGATTTCCGCCGTTTTCTAGCATTTCTCATATTAACCTTGTCAGACAAAAGAGCTTCCTTGATGACAGGACTTGGCTCAGAGCTACTTGCCGGATGTTCCGATAAGTAGTTGGATTCTGCGGCATGAGCTGATAATGACCTTAGCGTAGCACGACATGAGCGGAGTGTGACAGGAGAGATAGATTGTTCCAGAAGTTGGCATTCGGGGCAAGAGGATCGGTCGGTTGCATTGCATGATAAGGAGTGCAATGGACAAGCTAATGGAAAGTTACTTTTAGAATGGATTCTGCTCCTTAATCCAGGTGAACCAGAAGGTGAAGGGGATGATAAAGAGGGCAAAGTAGAGCTACGGGTGGAAAGCCTACTTGGGCACGGGGACAATGATGAGACACATGCACTTGAGCCTCCTGTAGAGTAGCTGCTGGTGTCAATTGTCAGCTCTAGAGAAACAGGATTTTTGCTGAATCGACCAAGAGCTGATTTATCAACTGTGGATTATTAAAATATGACAATATGGCAAAATTTAAAATATAAATTTACATAAAAATAAACAATTTTAGGGAAATAAAATCAAAATAAGAAACGAAATATCTCTACATAAAATAGTGTAGTTATTTTAATCAAATATTAGATAGAAAATAATTTACCATATTTATTGTCCTCATTGCACAATGTTTTTCTAAGTCTTTTTCCTTTTCTTTGTATCTTTAAATCTTTTTTCAGTGATGTAGAATCATTGAAATAGTTTAAAGGAGAGCTAAATTGAGTTGAGTCTAAGTTAACTAGCCTGTGCCGTTTTTTAGGTGGAAGCCACTGGTCACTAGAATCACTAATTGATGAAAGCTCACGCTGATCTCCAACTTGATCTGAAAAACTTTTCTTTCTGCCGCCAACTTTAGAAATAGGCTTAAAGCTTGCAGCAGGTGAATCATAAGGTGAAGGTGTCTCTTTTCGTGGTTTGTTTCTATCTAATACAGATGTTTCAGAGGCAAGAATTCTATCTTTTGTCTTCTTATTAACGTCAATCTTAATAACTCTAAATATTGAAGGCAATGGCATCTCTCCAGGACGAACTCTTATATAGTTGTCTGCAGGGTTTTCCGATAAGAACATTCCGTTTAATCCTGAAACTAGTGTATCCAAATCAGCAGCAAAGACAGGATCTATGATGTTTTTATGTTTGGACTTTCTGTACAATAGGCGATGGCGCCTTTTGCCTCGTTTATCAAAGCAATCTGGTTGATCAGTGTCTGTAGGAGTTCCTGACCTGTGTGCTTCATCAACACCAGTGCCAGAACGGAAAACATTTAAGCGACTAGTTGCTAGTATCTTAGATGGCTGAACACAAGATGTAAAAAATGATAAACGCTTTTCAGATGTTGGGGAACCAAAGGTGCCCGTCTTTTTCTGAGGGACAACTGAGAATTTTCCAATCTTTTTGAGAGGTTCAACAGTGCTGAAGACATTTAACTTTTTAGGGGGCGGTGGAGTTGGGGGGACAACTTTATTGGCAGGTAACTTCTTTCGCTTTTTGCGCTTGGTTCTCCTCATCATCACATGTAGTTTGGGTTTTTTGGATTTAGGTTTAACAACTTTTGGTGATTCAGGTCTTGTCATTTTGGGAAATGGTGATGGCTCGGAAACTTTAAAAGGATTGACAAAAGAAATGTTCCCTATGATGTCACTGCCCGGATCCTCAGTTGTAAACTGGCTGGTGATTGAGGATTTAACACTTTTAAGTAATGCATCAAGGTCATTGTCTTGAAAAACTGATTTTTCAGGACTGGCATGAGGTTTAGCCTTCAATCCACCATGATATATCCTCTTGTCAGGACTTGAATCAGGAACAGACAGCTCTAACTTTAAAGACCCAGCAGAGTTCATTTTATTTTTATCAACAGCAACAGGGTTAGATATTGCTTTCTGAATTATTTGATTTGGAACATTATTGCTTGTTTTAAAAATATGCGGCTTTCTTTTCTTTTGGGTGAAAACTCTTTTACGAAAATGTTTTTTCCGTACAGATTTATTATTTACTATAGTGTCATCATTCACAAGAAACTTTGAATTTACTTTATGACAATCACTATTATCTAATGTACAGTGAGAATGACTATCTGTTGGAACTAAGTTTTTACGGGGTCTGCCACGAGGACGTTTAGCTACATCTTTTTTGAATTTGGAACCAATGTTATTTTTTACTTTTAAATTAACAGTCTTTGACTTAAGTGAAACGTTTTTATAAGCATGACGAAACACATCTGTGTTGGTACTCTTCTTTGACACTGATCCTTTAGGTCGACCAGGGCTCCTCTTTTTAAATGAAGTATTATCACAGGAAACATCATTCACCTCTTCAATATCTGCACTTTTGACAATTTCAGTAGCTTGGCCAGGTTTTCCACTCAAAATGTCGGATACTTTTTTGAAACTACCTCCATGTATGTCTGCAGATGATGGACTTTTATAGTCTGCATGAGGTACAATGGGTATGGCACCATATAATCCACTGTAAATTGTACTTCTTTTATGCCTAAGTAGCAAGGACTTCTTTTGCTTTGGAGGTCGACCCCTTTTCTTACGACCCATTGTTTGACTTATTTTGTGAGGGGAAGACAAAATAACACCACTTCCATTTGCGATTACTGGTGAACTCACAACATCTTCATCTGTACAGCAGTCCATGTCACTCTCTTTTGAAGGAGCTATTTTTGTAAGCTCTTTTGTTAAATCAACAGCTGTGGCTTTAGCTCCCTCCTGTTCAGACAGTTCACCAGTAGAATGTTCATTTCCATTATGCTCCTTTCCCTCTTCAACTAATGAGTTTTGTTTCATGGTATCATCAATGGTAACTGTTCTTCTGTGTAAATGGTGACTTGTGCTTGTAAAAGAGCTCTGTGGCCCATGTTGTAACTCAGCACTACAGTCACCATTTACAAAAGAATTTGGGGATTCACTGCCAAAGGGAGATTCATCCAAGGATATAATCCCACTGTCTGGGGACACATTGGGCAAGGTGTCCAATCTAAGCAGAGGTTCATGACTGTCATGTAAAGATGAAATACTAATGCTGCCTTCCTGTTTGAATCTTTTAAAGCCTTTGAGAACATCACTGCTTTTTGATACTTCTAATTGTGTCCCTGATTTAAAAACAACAGTGCTACTATCACTCTGAGTACTGACAAACAAGGCAGAATTCTGGCATTCATTGGAGGAAGGTGCTTTTTGCTGACTCCCCTTCGATGATCTTGAGGGGCTCATTGTGGGTGCCATAAAAAATCTACCCCCTTCATTATAAGAAGGATGGTCACTGTATGAGTGCCCTGATTTAGGTAACTCTTTGTGAGAATCTGAATTTTGTAGGTAGTCTTCATTTGTACAGTTCATCTCAGATATCTGGAAATAATCATAAAGACTATTAAGGTAGGAAAAACATAAGTATTCAGAACTATATATATAATATAGAGAGTGATGATAAAACAGACATGCACTGATGTACTGTTTACAAAAATGTTATGAATTGTGATGAAGGGTATACAAAACACAGTGGATGTGGATGAACCCAAACAGATACACAATATTATTTCAAAATTATTTTGATCAAGTCTTTTGCTCTATTTGAGAAGCATTCTTAAAGCTGCCAGTTACATTTTTACCTTTAATGTAGTAATTAACTCTTTACAAAAAGAATTCAGAACTAATAAAAAATCTTCTATACAGTGATAAATAAATTAATATCTGACACATACAAAAGAATCTGAAGGCATATGGTAAAGGAGTTATTATTTGTAAGTGATTGATCTTTAAATTCTAATTCTGTTGAAGTTTAAAAAAAATTACACTGATCATTTAAACAATCAGAGGCATAGACCACACCTCTTTTTCCATATTCAGATGCTTGGCTCTTGAACGAGAATGGTCTTTCTGTTGGTTCAAGTGGGCTCCAGCTGAATTATCGTGTTCATCTTCACAGCTTCTTTTGCGACAAGAAATAGTTAATTTTAATCCACCACTATCGATATTTGAACTTTCGATTGAGAATTCCTCTTCACTTAAACTATTATTCAAAGAACTTGTGTTAGCATCACTAGTTTCATAATCTGAAGATTGTTCCGTTGTCCCACCATCTTGATTCATGTCTTTCCAAAATAATACTTATGAAGGTCCACTCATAATTCTATTAATTGCTAAACATTTATTTCACAGTGTATTCTGAAAAACAAAATAATAAGCTTTATCTTTCTTTTTTTTTAAGGAAAGGAGGATAGATAGAAACACATTACACAAAGTTTCTCAATATTACAGTCAGGCTATTTGCAATTGTTTTTTTCCTCTAAATAAACCATCCAGAATCTTTTAAGTTGGCTAAATTTTATAGTTATACTTTTACTAACGAAGAAACAAAAATGTTGGTCTCTGCTTGAATCATCTTTACAAATCATTTACGTACTTCATATCGGAAATTAACTACAAATTGTGTCTTTTGGAATAGTTGGGTACGTTTTCACATAACATAACTATATTTATAAAATGTTCCATATAAGAGTCTTGTTTAAAATGATTCCTAACTCTATATTTAAAAACATTCTTTAAAACTTTTACACATTGGTATGTTCGGGGTCATCCACTTATTAGATTACAAAATGATGAGGTGAAAATAATTAAGCATATGAAAAGGATGAAAATGGTGATGAATTGGAGTGGAAATAAATGTGATATAATATTTAAAAAAGCAAAATTCTTTAACAACTAATTATCAAATAAATTGACATTGCATCCCGCCAAAACTTCTTTAGTTTAATCATCATCTAGTAATTAAATCTTAACCCATGCATTGTTTTAAATTTCCCACATCTTTATTCCATACATAGCAGAAGGATGAATTAATATAATTAAAATGAGTCTGGGGTCATCACCAGATAAGTTAACCTTATGTATTTTACAATTAGTACCAAAAAGTGTTTATTTAATTTCAAACCATGAGTCTTTATAAATATAAATATATAATAATGAATAGGCCCTAGGCATATAGGACTATATTATATTATGGCTGTTTCAGACAATACGGTTGGATAACTTTTCAGTGTTTATTGAACAGAAAGGTGCTCTCCACAAACACGATAAATGATAAGGCACAGAGTAAATACTTACAGAGTTAACTGTGTAATATAAATTTACCTATATCATTTATTAGTATGCTATTATTATTCATTAGGCAAAGGCCTACTCATTAGCAAAAAAAGCAACAATTATCAGAAGTATAAGTATAGCATCTTTAAAACCATGACTGAATATGTCTATTCTATAATATACATCTTTATAAATATATATAGATAGACTAACGGACATATGTATTCAAGATGCCGGAGTTTCATTTCTGTATTATCAGCAGCAAAATTTAGAACACCACAGTTCACAGGTGTGTGACAAACTTTTTTGTAAATTAATAAAAATCAAAGTAAAAAATCTATATGTGCACATTTGATTAAATTTTAACTTAAAAGTTTGATGTAAATAATTTAATCTACCTATATCTAATATTCAAAGGCTTAATGATTTTTTTTATGTTGATCAATGTCAAAACAGCATATTTTAAAAGTAAAACTAGAATAAATCGGTATGTAAGTGAACTTTAAAATGTGTATACTCTACAGGTCTAGGGCTAAGTGTAGGGTAATACTTATTACTACCCCAATTAATAAATAAAAAGAGCCAATATTTATAATCTTGATTAGTTGCAGACCTATACTACAACTGACTATTTTCTTCTCTATACTATTATAGGTATCAGTATCATATTGGCTTGGGCTTGATTGAAGTTTTAAGCAAACTGATACTTGAATAGTCATAAAAACCTTAAATTTTATTGGGCCACTAGTTCTGAACCTTCATCATACATTATTATAATATCCTGACAATGATAGATATAACTGATAGAAAAATTACTAGTTTGCAACTTTAGTGCTTGCATTAATTAATCTGCTGATGCCATAAAACTAAAACATTCAGTAGACCATGACCAAGGTTTAATTGTCATGTGATACTTCATTCTCTCTCTTGAGTATGATACAGATATAGCCTATACAACAATGTCGTAGGTTAGTAGGGCTTAGACTTAAGACTAAATTATATATACACTTACACTAAAAAATAAGTTAATTATTATTATTTAAATTTAAAGAAGGATAAGTAAGCCAAGGCCAAGGCCTGTCTTAATCCATAAATAATAGGCTTAAACCTAATCTATTTAATAGAAGACATAGTCAAAAGCAAGGCTCACTCTTGAAGTTTTAAAGCTGGTCACCGGGTGCTTTTAAAGTTAAGGCCTTTTTGCTAATTTACTACTACTTAACTTCTAATACTTCAGTTTTTTATTACTACAGACTACAAAAATCTTGTCTCGATCACCGGTCCCGAGCAATCCATTTTAAATGAATAGGTCATGGTATAGGTCCTATATGTTTTTAAATTATATTATACTTAAGTTTTTTAAACTCACTTTGAACTAGGCCTAACAAGCCTAAATTAAAATTTAATGAAAGCTTAGGCCTAGAGTTGAGCTTAAATAAACTTTAAAAAAAAAAAACATTGCATACTAAACCCGGAAATCAAGCTTTGATATTAATTAATTCTCCATTTTAATAATTTAAAAAACAGTCTGGAAACTTTCATACCCTTTCAATTATCCTTTAATTAATAAACAGATGTCACAAATGGGCAGTGTACAAAAATATCCAAATGTAAACACAGCCAACAGTACAGACACAACAATCTACGCCATATAGCAGCAAAATGGCGTCTGCGGCTTTTGTCACAACGAACTCGAAAGGATAATTTTGGTCAGCATTCCATCAAGAAATGATAGTGACTATTGCTAAATCTGTCCCATAATCTTATCATACAAAAACATTAAAGTGATCTACATATTAGTGAAATAAGTATATTTATAGATGCATTTTTTTCATGTTTCTAAATTAATCGCAAAATCCTTTCGAAATTTGTTATTTATAGTAACGGATATCTTATTAGCCTTCAAATAGGGTCACGACTCCGAAAACTATTTGTGTATTATGAGCTATAAAGTATAAGCTATTAAATCTCTATTCCAGTGTTGCCTCCCTATAATTATTGTGCGATCAAAGCTGAACTTGAGCAGTAACATAAGGTGACCAAATCATGAACTGGAAATATCGGGACACACCCAAGGAGGGTTGGGGGGGGGGGGTTACCCTCCAGCTAAAGAGGGGTCCGGGGGCCTCCGCCGGAAACGGTTTATTGAAATATGTTCATTTTAACTATATTCAGACCTAGACATCTTTTTAAATTTACCTTCACTTTTTTATTTTAAAAATCATGAACTGGAAATATCGGGACACACCCAAGGAGGGTTGGGGGGGGGGGGTTACCCTCCAGCTAAAGAGGGGTCCGGGGGCCTCCGCCGGAAACTGTTTATTGAAATATGTTCATTTTAACTATATTCAGACCTAGACATCTTTTTAAATTTACCTTCACTTTTGTAATTTAATTCATACTCTGAGGCCTATCATGAAAGAAAACAATACTTTTGCAGTGAATACTTATTTATTTATGCATATAATATCTATGGCAGGGACATCGTCGTTTACTCAGCGTCGGCAGAGTGGTGAATGGGGAACAGTGCAGCCATCAAGCAAGCCCACATCACTACTGACACTGGCTACACGGCTAGCCAAAATATTACTTGAAGTTATATTATGAATTAGGAAGTTTTAGTAATTTCAAAATGTGTTTGGTTTTAGAAACGGGACATTTAGGCGTCCCGAGAGACTTTTTCGGTTCACCGGGTACGATTGTGAAAAAACGGGACAATCCCATTTTTACGGGACGTTTGGACCAAACTTTGGTCACCCTACAGTAACCTACAATCAAATTATAATTTTAAAGAAGATAAATACCGGTAGTTAGAAGAATGGGGGAGGCAAGCTGAACATAATTGTGTGCGCACACACCCACGACGAATAAAAAACATTGATAACGCTTGCCCATAAAATTTGATTTCACTGAGAAATCAGAAGACCAGTTAATGCAAAATAATTTAAAAAAAAGAAATAAAATATTTACTTGTTTCATAGAAAGATTGCTTGAAAAGAATAAAAAAAAAAAAAAACATTCGATAAAAAGAAGCCTAAATCTTTGCTGTTTTATTTTAAAAATCACTTTTGTATTTTTTAAAGTTACAAATGGTCTTACTTAATACCCACAAGGTAACTTGGGTGTGCCTTGACAAGACAACTTAAAACCAAATTGATCACATATGCATTAAAAAAAATTCAGAAGGTCTCTACATGATGTGAGAGCAAAAAGAAGAGCTGATGTTGCATCTGATCATCATCTAGTTTGGGTAAGACTCAAGCTAAAACTGAAGAAAAACTGTGAAGAGCCAGCTGCAAGATGACTAAAATGTAACATAGCACTGCTGGCAAAAGAGGAGAAATAAATAAATAAATAAATAAAGTTTAATTGAAAAACACGCTTCATCCCCAAAAGCTCGAAGTGCGGTACAAAGTCAACCACATTTAAAGAGAAATAAACACAATCTAAAATTAACCACATTTAAAAAACAGACGCAACAATATAAAACTACATACGAGCATACCAAGTCAAAGTCTTTCATCCCGTTTCAACCATAAGCAGCACAGGCCAATATACATTAACTGAAAAAGATGGTAGATTACATCACCCCAGAAAGTGTTTGCGAAATAGATGTGTTTTTAAATCGGTTTTAAAGGACTCCAGTGTCTGGCTGTTTCTGAGCGTGACTGGAAGGGCGTTATAAATTGTTGGGCCGGCAAATGCAAAAGTGCGCTTTATCGATACAGGAATACAGTGTTAACTTGAGAAATAAGTTCCAGAAACTGCAAGACCAAACAGGTGATGGCCAGATAAAGCTTCAGAGACAAAATATAAAGCTGTCTGTAACATCCACGCGCAACGAGGTATTATGATCAATGAAGCAAAATCAAAAAGATTAGCCCTCACTCAATACATTGCAAAAAATAAACAAGAGAAAAGAAATGAAGAGTGCAGTTAACAACAGCCGCACCAGGGCAGAGGAAATGAAAGCACAAGAGAAGTATAAAGATGCCTAAGACCCATTTGCAAAGAGTTATTAGGACCTATGAAGCAAAAACATAAAGACAGACTCTCACACCACACGGTGCAAAAATAAACGAGAGGAACAGCCTCACCAGGGCAGAGAAATTAAAAGTACAAAAGAAGAGAAGCAAATCAAAGGGTAAAGAACATTACCAAAAAGGATAAAAGAGCATACATAGATGGTCTAACGTCATCAGCAGAAGAAGCAGCCTGAAATGGGGCTATGAAAGTGCTCTGTGACATAACCAGAAAGCTCTCAAGATACAAGAAGCCAGAGAGACCGTTAAAGACAAGGGAGGTAGACCAATAACAGAACGAAGAGAACACCAACAAACATGGAATTATTACTTTAAGGAATTACTAAACAGACCTCCATCCACCCATTATATAACCAGCTAATAAAGATGTACCAATAGAAGACAGTGTCACAAATAAGGAATAGCCCTGGCCATCCAGCAGCTAAAAATAGGAAAAGCATCGGGACTGGATAACATCACAACAGATGATGAGAGCAGATATAGATACAGTAGTCAACATGTTGAACCCTCTGAAAAGATATGAAAAGATGAGCGAGTTTCAATAGATTGGAAATAATGATACCTCGTCAACATACCAAAGAAAGGGGATCTCAGCAAAAATTGTGCAAACTACAGAGAAATTACAGTGTTGTCTGTACCAGGAAAAATCTTTAACATAATTATTTTAAATAGAATGAATGACCAGGTTGACACGCAGCTACGAGATCAACAGACTGGCTTCCTCTAAGACAGAACATGCACATATCAAATTACAACACTATTAATCATTGTAGAACAATCCATCGAATGGAACTCCGCCCATACCTAAATTTCATCGACCACGAAAAGGCCTTTGATAGCATGGACCGACAAACCTTTTGAAAACTCCTCCGACATTATGCATTTGGGGTACCAGAAAAGCTACTCAGGATCATCCAGAGTTTTTAATGAAGAAAGGACATGCAGGGTGGTACACGAGCGTAGACTCGCATATGCCTTTAAAGTGGAAATAGGACTCAGACAAAGATGTCTCTTGTTCCCATTTTCTCTGATCCTTGCCATTGACTGAATAGCCGGAACTTGGAGAACAACAGCGATCATCAAGCAGAAACTACACACCTTAATTAATAGACATTTGCCTAAGGAAGATTCTGAACATCAAATGGCCAAACACCATAACCAACAAAGACTTACTGAAAAGGACATACCAGGAGCCTATTGCTGAAGACATCATAAGGAAAAGATAAAGGTGGAAAGGGCACTCTTCGTAAACATCCAGATAACACCAGTAGAAAATCCTTAACATGGAATCCACAGGGAAAAGAAAGAGATGAAGGTCTAAAAATACATGGACACTTGAGCTAGAGGAATGGAAAATTCTTGCAGATGGCCTATGCCCCAGACGGGGTAAAAGGCATAGTATAAAGTAAGAAGTAGGGGCATGAAAGAGTCATGTATCAGAAAATTGTTTTGTAATGCACACATCACTACGTAAGGTCGTAGATGAACACTTGACCAACTTAACTGACCGTTTCGAGTTGTACTTTCCAAGAAAATACGATCCGCAGATATGAAACTAATGGATCTGAAATCCATTTATTGCATCAACGGGTGATTTGAATGTCACTTTGCAATATAATTTGTTGGATCTAACTGCTAGCGAAGGAATGCAGATGGCTTTTACCAATATGAGAATTTGTGAATTCACGTCAAATAAGAATGTACCGAGCCTGCTGACATTACCATGAACGTTCTTCTCCCATGTCCTTCTACTTACCTCTGTAAAAACGGGCTTTTCGTCCATAGGCATTATTTAGACAACGGACAGAAACACAATTGATATGTGTTCTTCTTTGCTAGTATCCAGAGGCGTAGCGTGGTGGGGGCAGGCTGTCCCCGGGCGCCAGCTAGTTAGGGGCGCCAAAATGTGCTTTGATATTATTTTATTGATGAAAATAATGGGTTTGAGAGTTGAAAAAAAGAAAAAGGGGCGCTAAAAATAGATCTTGTCCCCGGGCGAGAATATTGTCCCCGGGCGCCAAACACCCTCGCTACGCCACTGCTAGTAGCACTGTCTACAATCGACCAACGCTTTGATTTCCTGGTCAATAAAAAGCATTGCCACATTTCTCATGAAATAGTCATTGTTTTTGTTTTATAATCCCCAATTCAAGATTTACGTTATAAATATGTAAAAAGATCTGCTGTTGAAGTTGTTATCTATTTTAAGACAGCCTTATAAAAAATAAAAACTATTAACGCCTGTCATCAAATGGTAATAGCTAATAAAGTACTTTTAAATTGTCTGATTACTGATTAAACAATACTTTATGACATATTTTAGATCAAATAAAAAGAACAATAATCAATATATCTGGACCCGGTCCGTGGTGCAATGGTAACTTGTCCACCGGTCCGTCAAACCTGAAAGTTTGGGAAAAACCTGTCATAGAGGGTTCGTCCACATAATAAATTATGTACAACCGGCAAGGGGTGGGTTGGTGTATTATCTTGTTATAATGTATTGAATTGGTGGGTTAGTTGTCGAGAGGAATGTTATAGAACAATTCTTTTTAATTATTTATTTTTTTCTAAAAATTTCCGCTTTTCAAATTTTTGAAATTAGCCTAGATTAACCCCCC